GTATTTAAGTGTATGTGTCTGATTTATTCACTTAACACTATGGTCTCAAAGTCCATTCATTTTCCTACAAATGATCCAAGGTTTTCTTTCTTTGTGGCAGAGTAGTACTTCATTGTGTGTAAATATCACATTTTCTTTATCCATTCACCTGTTGATGGACATATAGGTCATTTCCAAGATGTAGCAGCTGTAAATTGTGCTGCTGCAAACATGGGTATGCATGTATCACTGTAATATGATGCTTTTATCTCTTTTGGGAAAATATTTACAAGGGTAATAACTAGGTCAAATGGAATTTCTGTTTTTAATTTTTTGAGGAATCTCCACACTGATTACCATAGTGATTATACCAGTTTACATTTCCACCAACAGTATGGAAGCCTTGCCAGTGATGTTGAGCATTTCTTCATGTATTTATTGGCTATTTGTACTTCATCTGAGAAATGTCTGTTCATTGCACTTTCCTATTTTTTGATGGAGTCTTTTATTTGGGGGGGTCTAATTTTTTAAGTTCTTTATGTATTCTAAGTATTAGTCCTCTGTCTGAGGAGTAACTGGCAAAATCTTTTTGGATTCTGTAGGGTTTTTTTTGCTCTGTTGGTTGTTTCTTTTGTTGTGCAGAAGCTTTTCATTTGATATCCTATTTGTCAATTCTTGGTACTATTTCCTGTACAACTAGGGTTTGATATTATCTTTGTTTTTGATATTCTGCAACTTACTATCCCATGTTTATTAACTGTATTTGTACTATTCAGTATATATAATGTAAAATAGGACATAGACCCAGGAAAAATTTTAGTCACTCTTCAAATTTTGCATCTGTTCCATTTTCATTTTTTTCTTCTGCATTTCCCATAAGTTACAGTTTGACCTTCCCATTCCATTTTCTACATTCCTTGACTTGTTTTTCATACTTCCCCTTTTTTGTGTCTCTGTGTTTTGTTCTGGATAATTTCTACAGATCTAGTGTCAGATTCATTAATTCAATGCTATACATAAAATCTTTAGCAACAGAATTTTTAATTCTAAAGACATTCTACATAATTTCTAGACTTTTTGTTTGGCTTTTTTCAAATTTGAGTTTTTCTAGTTCACATAGCTTGCCTTTTCATCCATTTTCAAACTCATTGCCTTTTGCATATCAAAAATAATTACTTTATATTCTATGCTTGACAATTCTAATATCTGAAAAGTTGCAAGTCTTATTTTATTCTCTTCTTTCTGTTTTAAGAGTGCTTGTGCTCTTAAAATGTTCTGTTTGGTGAGGGGAGGGGTTTCACTCTTATGAGGGATATGACAGTTGATTCCCCCTTACATTATGCACTTAGACACTGAATTGCCTTGATTTGGTTTATAAGGTCTCAAATGAGAGTACCTTGGGTATATTCTGCTTTTCTTATCTTCTGCTCTTTATTTCATTATATTGTGAAAACTGATGCTTAAGTTCATTCTGATAATAATGTCCTCAAAACCAAGATTATCTTTAGCACACTTGGCTTACTGATCATCAATTTTTTAAAATGTTTTATTTTGAATTTTTGTTTGGTTTCAGCAGGACTAGTCAAGGTATCTCGTCTATTATACTTCTTGAAATAGTTTAGAAATCTCCTATATTTATTTTAGCCAAATTTATATATTTGCAATCTAGCTATTATTTCATTTTTTAAAAAAACAATTTAAAATGCAAAACTGAAAGATCACTGACCTAGTCTTCATGTTTATGTCACCTATAAAGAAAGAGTAATACCAGGCCTGTGGCCAAATATCACTTCTGCTGACCCCATCTTGGTGTCTTTCTATGACTTTGGTCCTGGCAGGAGAAGCAGGTGGGTGTCAGTTCAGGAGCTTGGATCTGGTGGCTTGGAAAAGCAGACTTTGTGAATGTAACCCTTCTTGGACATGTAGATAACTTCTGTCTCTGTACAACTTCTGCTGTCTTGAATCGCTCAGGCCCACCTGCCTTCTGAGAAAATCTCGAGACAAACTCTTTATCTGAGAAATTCACCAAAAATCAGTTTTCATGTACACACAGTGCCTAGGTTGTACCAAATATAATACTGGGTTAAATTTCTTTTGTTGGTGGTGTTGTTAAATCTCTGGAGCACTAAGTAATATATTCTAAGCACTTCCACACAACAGTGACTTTCACAAGTGTGGATTGTTCATGGAATCATTGCATCATAGTGCAAAGAGTGTTATGTTTTTAGAACATTCAAGATGCTTCTAACTCCTTGCTCTAACAAATCAGGACTATGTGAATGCCCCAACAGTTCATCTTTACTTAATATACTTACTTATTGGCTTAGGCTAAATTCCTAGGAGTTAAATTGTGAAGTCCTAGGGCATTCTTCTTTTTAAAGTTTGATGTATCCTGCCCATGTGGCTCCCAAAAGACTTGTATCACTTTAGCTTTTAGTTGTAGCCTGTGGAAGTGTGTGATGGAAGTTGGCTTTTTAAAGGTGACATATTCAAAGCTGGTCCTCTGATTAATTGCCAATAAAAAATAATTCCACCAGATTTTTATCTGGCCATTTTCTTAGTCTAAAATTTGTACAAGGTATACAATAGCATTCTTGGTATTTTACAGATGTAAAGGTCTTGAAAATTCTCCAAACTCTCTTCTCCCTCTTCACAAAAACTTAATATCAGAGAACTACTACAGTTTCTCCAATTATTGATAGATCTTTGCATTGACAAATCCTCGGCTGTTACATGGAGAATAGCAGTCAGTGGTATTTTCTTGATTAGTTTGAACTAAATAGCAGTGTCACCGTAAATGAGCAGGCTGTTTTCCTATTGTTATCTACTCGATTTATTGTTTGTTCACAGACCCTGTAGCATACTGAGTCCCCTGTTGGTAATATGCATTACCAGTGGAGATAGCTTTCTTGACACTGATTCTGTGACACTAATTCTGTGTGGATTCGATCACATGAGGATCCGGAGATATGATTCCTAGTGGATCACATTGAAATATTGATCTTATAAGGTAAACTGGAGGCTGGTTACACAGCATGGTTTTAAATTTGTTTCCACTTAATAGGAGAAAGGATTTTCTTTCTTCAGATCTCTTGCTGTCCCAAAGTTAAAGCTACTGCTTTGTGCCTCCTGTGCTTGTGATTATCTTTTGCAAAATGGCATTTCTAAATACAGCAAGATCAGTTAGTACATATCTGAAATGGCTATTTCTTTCTCCCTTTGAATGGAAAGATATTTAGGCATCTGTAACTCCTTCTAAAGCTAACATCTGTCAGTTGGACCATGTATAACTTTGTCAGCTGGGAACTGAAACCCATTCATAACACTCCTGTTTGCAAACTTCTGTCATCAAGGCTATTCAGATTGGAAATTCTATTGCAGAGAGCAGACAAGGCCAGTGGGCTACAGACAGCCTCAAGTTTAACTGAACATTTAAACATTGCAAGGGTGTGGTAATTACACAAAAGCTGTTGTGCTGAGTGAAGGCTGGGAAAATTGGACATGGACCCAGTTTGAATCACCACTGATCTTATCAAAGCTTAACTATTCTCCAACCCTGGATGGATTTTTCTGGTTGTCTGTATTGTTCATTTGGTTATAATGAGGACCTTTCACAAAGATTTTATGCTGATTTGCCTTGCAGAATTGAGCTTAACAATGTACAGAACATTGAATTTAGATAGTCAATCTCTTAAAAACTGAGTCAAAGAGAAAAGGGAGTTGATTATGCTTAATTTGGTATGAAGTGTTACACAGACTTATAAACATCTATGTGATCTGTAGAGATGACGCAGAGAGAAGATTTATGTACCAAGAACAGTTTCAGAGAATCTCCTTCTGCATATATTTTTAAGGACAGTTTACCATGTTATTTGTATAATGGTGCCTTTATTGTACAGTTAAAGTTTACAAATCCTTTTCTGGATACAGTTGAATTGTAATTTTCAGGGCATCTTACAGAATGGATTTAAGTAATTCTTAAGAATTAGAATAGTGCATAAGCATCAGGAGATTTGTTCAAATAGCAGATTTGGGGTGAGGTGCTGAGTAATTCTAATCCAGTACACCATGACTGAAGCTTCGTGATCTACCTTCTCAACAAGCCCCTCAGAAGATTCTGATTTGGGTGTAACCCCAAAAGAAAAGACAGTTGAAAATACTGGTTTCATAGAAAAGATAAAAGTTAATGAAATAAGAATCAGTTTTGTAGAAACTGTAAATACAAAATTTTGTTTTACTGGATAATTTATTTTTATAATAAAAAGATGTGTTTAGGGTCCTTATTTCTTAAGAACTGAGGCAGACATGCTGTGGAAAATTATGCGTGCTCTGGGCCAGAGGTTCTTTGAAGACCACCACTGC